GGTATTATTTTTAAAACAGTAACAGTTCCTAAAAAAATAGCTCTGCTTCTGATAACTATAGGCCAATTTCTAAAACCAGCGTCTTCGGTAAAGTAGTAGGAAAGGTTATGAAGCAGAGGCTCAATGATTACTTTAATAAAAATAATTTATTTTGCGAACCACAATATGGTGTCCGTAATGAATGTTGTTAGTGGTACAGTTGAGGGTCTAGAAAGAGGTGAACAGATTGCGATTACGCTGTGATCTTTCAAAGGCCTTCGACTGTATTATAATTTTAAAGCAAGAAATAGGTAAAGTTAAAAAATATAATTAAACAAATATTAATGCGATACGTTAGCTGGTATGATCGCGCTTTACCACCAATAGGAGTAAGTCCAACTATAGGTAACCCCTATAGGTTCAATGGTTTGGGTTCCAGCCAAGCCACGTCGCATTTTAGTGACATCTGTGTTCACTAGAGTAAAAACAAAATATATCTATTGGTACCTAATGTTGAAAATGACATCCCCTATCAAAATTTTTGCGATAATACCAATCATAAAATTATTAATAATGATAATATTACTACTAAAAATATTAAAAGTACTAATAATTAATACAAAAATTAATAACTAATTGTATTATTATCAATAACGATAATATTGATAGTGCTAAAAATTAATACTAAAAATAATAACTAATAGTAATCATATCAATAACGATAATATTGATAGTGCCAATAATTAACTATAAAATTAAAAAATAGTGAGAATCAAAAGAAAACATATTGATCTGGAATCCAGCCAGATTAAGATTGAATCCAACAAAAGAGAAATCCAAAAACACACAAAAGAAAATCATAGAAATAAGAGAAGCTGATTTAACAATAAAATATATCTACAAACGATTATTAATAACTTATCTCAGTTCAATAAAGGGTATCACAAAATGGAGGGTGTGTGGTCGATTTGAAGAAATTTGTTCGGTGTTGTTTGAACCAAAAATAGCGGTATAAATAAATCCCTTGTGGCGAAATAACGACTGTTAAATAGAAGACAAGTTATCATTCGAAGTTCCAAATAGTTCTGCAAATTAAATTTCATATAAAACGGCAAAACAATTTAAACAAAAAAAAATCATGATTCCTATACTTTCCTTATCTATATACAGATAGAAAAGTAAAAATAGAACTCGCCCAAATACAAGTTTCTAACTTGAAATCGTCTTCAAAAACCAAAACATTCTTCTTAATTTTACCAAATTAAAATGGCTTGCAAACTATTACCAATCAATTGTTATAATTCAAAATCTTAAATATATTAAAAAAAAAAAAAAAACTAATAAATTAGGAATTTTCGTAATAAAAGGTTTAACATACTGGACTAAACACAGGAACTATTATTAGAGATTCGTCCCTATTAAAAATTATCTCCATCTTTATCGGTCCATTTAATAGAACACAGTGCAGGTGAATACAAAAGATATGTTTTCGTAATGAGCACAAAGGAAGAAAAATGCCGAGACTAGACAAAGTTTTAATTTAACATGAGAATTGTTTACAAAATATACTTATATTTAAAAATAAGCATAGAAATGGAATTTTAAGAAGATGTTAGACTGTGGAAAATTATATTTTATGATGGAAAACAAAGGATTATTATAGTAACCATAAATAGTAAGTATTTTAATTATTAGAAATAATTTCTTTATTTACAAACAGTATTTCCTTGTAGCATACAAGGACTTTATTAATATTAATAAAAATAACTAATTTTAGGAAACGAATTAGAATAACAACAAAGAAATATCTAAATCCATTATATATCACATAAAATGAGACCTAATTATATCAACCATTATAAAATAAAATAAATAATATATGTGAAATCCAGACCACGAACAAGGTGTACCAGATATTAGAACTTTAGTTCTTAAGATTTCAACCTTAGCTAAGTTAGGTTAGAACAAAATTACTCAATAATCAACTTTTAATCAGATTGTAATGTTGATAAAAGACCATTCACTATAGAGTGTTTTTTCGTAAAAAATGTGGCGCTGCTTTAGATCAATCGATTTAATTGAATTTTGTTTTTAAAAGATGAAAATACCACAGTGTTGTATTGTCCCTGTGGTACATGGATTACCATAACTAGATACGAAACAACCTTCTTTCGATACAAACCATTGTCATATGGTTGTTATCAATTATACTCGTTATATTTTATTTATAAATATAATTTCGTAGTACACTTAAATATCAATAATTTGTATTGAAATTCTATCTCTAGACAGCCCCAATCTTTGGAAAATACTACTCGTGTTTAACTCTCATTGTTTTTTTTGTATTTGGTACTGATTGATATTCATGACATTTCAATTTATAAAAAAAAGGAAAATATTCCACACTAAAAGAAAAATTGTAATTAATAATAATTGTATTATATTACCCTCGAGAAAATGTTTATTTAGATACATTTAATGGAACTTTTTGTGTACCTGCCTATCTATATTTGTAATTTTTTTTGTTGTTTTTTTACGAAACTAAAGATGTATTTCGTGAAACTAACCCTGTTTCACGCTTTTCGTATTAGAACATTTTGTGGTGTAATTTATTTTTTCTATAGACATTACACAAAATGCATCTGTGACCCTGTAATCGGTATATGACTTACTGACTTACACGATGTTCAACGAGTGGTTTGTCGTAAAACTTGATGTGAAAACAGATTGTGACGCTAGAAACAGGACCTTATTCCGTCGTTCTCGGTTATATATTTAGCGAAATTGGTAATAACAAGGGTTAACGAGGTCTTAGAACAGCCATTTAAGTCCCTTACGAAGGAAGAATAGATGTAAATTCTTAGGAAGGACGTTTTACTGATTTAAGGGATTTGTGTCAAAATAGGACAAATATCTGAAGTTAGACATAAATTGGTATCAAATCAACTTTTAACAAAAATATTCTCGAAAACACTTAGTTTTGCCACTGACCGTACAAATCCTATAAGTTCTTAAAGACAGAAGGAGCGAATACAACGCTCTCCGGTAAGGCGATCATTAGTGAAAAATCCTATTCGTTAGAAAGTGTCTTCTTTTCAGAGTTCTAAAATTTTCTCTTACTAATTTAAGACTATATCCACGCTGCCTTTCGTCAATGTTTGTGTTGAAAATATGCGAGACAACTAATGCAAATGGAAATTGTGAAATATTAGTTGACATTGGATAAGGTAACCTCGGGTTCTTCCTTCCTGTTAGAGTGGGAAATTGTAGTCTATCAAGTCTTTCGGGGTACGATAGTGGGCGAAGAACAGAATATCTACTTGCTAAATCTTCTTCGCATACTTTCATTGAAGTTGATATCCGTGACCAGATCTATGGGTTATATTCAATTATAGGACGAATGAGTTTTATACAGGTTTGATAACATTGGAATCGAGGGTATTGGAAAGACTTTCTAATTAAAAAGCTGGTTGTTGTTTGTTTATTCAATGATTTGCGAAACGTGCTTAGACTAAGAGAGGTCATTATACCCAAATGGTTACAACCCGATCTACTTGAGATGGTTACTACTTTGATATTGTTGCCATCAGTAGTAGTAGTATATGCAAAATGAGGGTTGTTTTGTTAATATGTAAAATTATGCATTTAAAAAGGTTAAGTGGTGTAAGCCATTCGAAACACCAACTCCAGATCGTTTTTAGTATAAGTAGGTATGTTACGAGAGGGGATTTTCATAAATTTTAGTATCATCAGCGTAAAAACTGTGAGGGCATGTTAGATAGTAAGGTAAATCGCAATAAGGTACAAAATTGGTCTAATTACTGAGCCTTGTGGGTATAGGTTGTAGAGTTAGATGCGTGAGAATATACTAGTAAAGTATATTTATTTATTTGAATAATTCAATAAATAAAGTTCTTCCTTGTCTCCATATCAACGGTCGTCAACGAATCAGGATCCACCTCAAAATACATCGACCCGATATAGCTGCCTAAGGCTTAACATAATTATGACATTCTCTGATATTGACACTTAAATAACCTCAAATAAAAATGACCTAAAAATCTAATTGAAATTACCTGTAAGTCAAACTAAAGGTAAGTTTATGTGGAGAGGCACGATTTGCCACAGTGGCACACCAGAGAGAGCATTGTAGAAGTGAGACAAAGATGTACCCACTTTGAGAACAAATTTTCTATTGGTAAAGAAAGCTTCAATTCATTTCAGTAGGGATCTTCAAATTTCAGAATTTTTTAATTAGGTCAAAAGACGGATTCATTGAAACACGATCGAAAACCTTCGAGAATTCTAGGTAAATAACGTCAACTTTTATCAATAGAAAAAGAGTTCAGTCATTTAGGCAGACTAGAAGATCTGTAAAGGGCGAATCTATGTAGTAGAAAACCATGTTGCGTTTTTGGTTCCATTTGACATCAAGAAATCAATCATATATTATGAAGAAATAATTTTGCAGCAAATAGAAACTAAACTGATGTTGCCTATAATAATTTGGATGTTGTATCATCCTTTTTGAATATAAGGGTAAAACTGATGCCTTGGGCTAGATGTTAGGAATATAGCCACTTGTATAGGATACTTGAAAATATGATGGAAATATTAGCTAAAACATTGGTACAATGTTTTAATAAAAGGCATTTGAAATATTACTTGGTCCATACATAGAAGACAGACATAGAAGCTAGTGACCTAAGCAGCCACCAACCTTTTCTTTTCTAAATGATTGTTGAAAATTATTAGCCAAAAAAGTTCCGCATAAAGTAGATTTTTTTTTATTCGCAACTTTGATTCATGTGAGGAAAGTGTTTGTCGTCTATACTTATAGAAAGGTTTTGATTATTTTGTAATTAGTTAATTTATATAATCTGCTCTTTGGGTTCGCAGATCTTGTGATAATTGATAATTGACTGAGGATTATCTATGGATTTAAAAATTGTTTTCAAAGCCAGTAGTTAGCTACTATAAGATTTAAAGTAATATTAGTTTTTAATAAAATGATATTTTAACGGTCTGTAGCTAAATTAGGTTTGTTTTGGAAAAGTTTTTTGTTCTACATCGTATGATTCGTATATCATTCAAATTTATTGATGATAGTAAAGATTAAAGTTGATTCTAATTAGGTTTATAATGAATTTGGTATACATTTCTAATGTTCGCAATTGTCAGGATCTGTATATTTCCACGTGACAACGACGTGATCTGAGTGGCTTAAAGGTGAATGGTATTCAATATTGCCAATATTAAATCTCGTCGTTTGTGAAAAATAAATAAAAACAGGAAGGACTTTAATAATAGCGAAAATGAGTAAACTGCGTGATAAGTTGCTTTCCATTAACATGTTTTAATATAGTGAAGTGGGCACTGATTCTATCAG